AGAATCGTCAAAAGGCAACCATGACGGTGATTCGCGGCGTTGAAATCCCAATCAGAACGTTCTGGAACAATTCCAGACGTTCAAACGGTTGTCTTCCAAAAGGGCATATCCTTCAGTGAAAATGAATTCGTGCAGGAGCCTACGAAGAGGGAGCTTGGAGGAAGGGTTCGTTGCAGTATGATTGATGAATCTCGGGTTTACACTGGTCACCCTCCTCTTCCTCCTCCTCCTCTTCTTCCTCCTTCTCCTCCTCCTCCTCCTCCTCCCACCACCCCCGATGTTTTTTGGTTTTTGTCAAGTCGGAGCGCCCACAGCTCTTGACCACTTCCAGGGAACCAGTTTCATGTGTTTTGACAAGGTCCCAGGGCCAAGCGGGAAGCCCCAGACACGCCGAAAGCCTACGGGAAAAACCTCCGTCGAATATTGGCTCCAGGCGTTGAAGATCTGGTTCCTCCTCCTGGTGCCGTCTCTCGGTGATTCAAAACATGGGTCCGGAGGGATGGAGTCCTAAGGAAGGGATGACTCAAACCATTTGGATCCACCCTTGGATCCTTTCCTACCCCTCAGGACCCCATCCCTCAGGACCCCATCCCTCGGGACCCCATCCCTCAGGACCCCATCCATCGGGACCTCATGTGTGTGAACCACCAGTTCCCGTCACGCGCCTACGAATTGGGGCGCGAACGAAGAACGCGGTGTTCCGACCCGTCACTGGGCGACGCCCGGGGGCGAAACCAATACGCGCCATTCCGTCGCGCCCGCCGCGCGGCAACGCAGAACAGAAAACCACAAGTCCACTCTTCTCGCCTTGCGGCAGTGCGGGGCGGCAGCGAACAGGAACACCACGCTCCACCCGCTGTTTGGCAACGCCCTGGGGGGGCGCGGGGGGGGGGCTGACCAACGCGAACCTGTTCTACTCGCCGCGCGGCATCGCAGGGGGCGGGGACAGTCTTGTTCCGACCCCACTCGTCGCTTGGCAGCGGAAAGGGGCGGAGTCCAGCCGGCGCTCTGCTCTACCCGTCGCCCGGCAACGCGGGGGGACAAACCGAACAACGCGCCCGTCGACTCGCCGCGCGCGACGGAGGGAAGCCTCCTCCCCCCTCGCCCGTTCCCCCTCCCCGCCCGTCCAACCTCCCCCAGCGCCTCCATTCGGCGGCGACGATAAGGGTGAATAGCCCAGGGGCGGGCATTGCACGTATTCGCCCAGGAGCCTTTCCGAAGACATAGATCATCGGCGCACCTGAATACATGTATTGCTCTCCCCTGGGCTACTCGCCCCTATCGTCGCCTCTGATCCATCAAAGCCACCCTCCGCCCCACCCGCCCCCCTGGCGTCGAATTGTCTCCCGCCATGTTCCGGGGAGCACCAGGGTCGGCCCCAGCCTCTCTCGCCCCTTGTCCCTGTGGACCTCCTCAGCCCGAGCCCCCCGCCCGCCCCCCCCCCATGCCTTCTCCTTTTCCGCCGACCCTGCGTCGGGCGCCACGAGATCCCCAGCCGTTGAGAAGTTCCGGGAACCCAAAAGGAACCCTCCTGCACCAGTGGAGCACGCGTAAAAATCCGCAGGACATCGTAAGTTCCCTACCTAGGCTCTGCCTAGAAGGGTTCTTACTTTCTTTGCTAAAGGGGGCGGGTAGTGTGGCTCACCCCGGGCGGTTCCCCCGGTTGCGCCCCCCTGGTTCCCCCAGTTGCGCCCCCTGGGTTCCCCGAGCTTAGCTTAGCTTAACTTACCCTGAGCTTAGCTTCGCTTAGCTTTAGCTTAGCTTAGCTTAGCTTAGCTTAGCTTTGCTTAGCTTAGCTTAGCTTAGCTTAGCTTAGCTTAGCTTAGCTTAGCTTAGCTCGCTTAGCTTAAGCTTAGCTTAGCTGAGCTAGAATTAGCTTTTGGCCTAGCCTAGCCTAGTGAGCTTAGCTAGCCTTAGCTCAAGCTGTAGCTTAGCTTTAGCTTTGCCTGCCCAGCTTAGCTTAGCTTAAACTTTACCATGAGCTTTAAAAAAAAAAAAGCGTTTCGCGTAGCTTTTAGCTTAGCTCCCCCCCCCCCTTTTCTTTTTATCTTTTAGCTTCTCCTTTTTCCTCTAGCATTAAGCTTCTTCACTATTCTTTAGTGTAGCTTAGCTTAGCTTAGCTTCGCTTCGCTTCGCTTAGCTTAGCTTAGCTTCGCTTAGCTTAGCTTAGCTTAGCTTAGCTTAGCTTAGCTTAGCTTAGCTTAGCTTAGCTTAGCTTTGCCTAGCCTAGCCTAGCTTAGCTTAGCTTAGCTCAGCTCAGCATAGCTTAGCTTAGCTTTGCCTAGCCCAGCTTAGCTTAGCTTAACTTACCCTGAGCTTAGCTTCGCTTAGCTTTAGCTTAGCTTAGCTTAGCTTAGCTTAGCTTAGCTTAGCTTAGATTAGCTTAGCTTAGCTTAGCTTAGCTTAGCTTAGCTTAGCTTAGCTTAGCTTAGCTTTAGCTAGCTTAGCTTAGCTTGCTAGCCTAGCTAGCCTAGCTTAGCTCTAGCTTAGCTCAGTCAGATTGCTTAGCTTAGCTTTGCCTAGCCCAGCTTAGCTTAGCTTACTTACCCTGAGCTTAGCTTCGCTTAGCTTTAGCTTAACTTACCCTTAGCTTAGCTTAGCTTAGCTTAGCTTAGCTTAGCTTAGCTTAGCTTAGCTTAGCTTAGCTTAGCTTAGCTTAGCTTAGCTTAGCTTAGCTTAGCTTAGCTTAGCTTAGCTTAGCTTAGCTTAGCTTAGCTTAGCTTAGCTTAGCTTTGCCTAGCCTAGCCTAGCCTAGCTTAGCTTAGCTTAGCTCAGCTCAGCTTAGCTTAGCTTAGCTTTGCCTAGCCCAGCTTAGCTTAGCTTAGCTTAGCTTAGCTTCGCTTCGCTTCGCGCTTAGCTTAGCTTAGCTTCGCTTCGCTTCTTCTTAGCTTAGCTTAGCTTAGCTTAGCTTAGCTTAGCTTAGCTTACCCCATCTTAGCTTAGCTTAGCTTAGCTTAGCTGTTGCTTTCCTGAATGCTCCAACTCCTAGGTAGGGTCGCACTGGGATAATTCTGCTTGAAGTCCTTCGGAAGCCATCGATAATCGACTCTGCCCACCACGTGTCACGTGACAAGACCCAGTGGGGACGAAATGGCAAGGCAAGAGGGCGGACATAAGATTATTGCACAGTATTCCTCGCGTGTCAACGCGGGGGGGGGGGGGCGCAAGCAAGTAACAATGCGGTCTACCTGCCGCGCAGCAGCGCCTGGGAACGAACAAAAATACATGTCAGTTCTGCTCGCCGTGCAGCTTCACTGGGGAACAAGCTACAATTCTACCTTGCTTATCACATGGCAAAGGGAGGCCGCGGAAACAGGTACGATGCCGCTCTACCCGTCGCTTGGCGACGCCTATGGGGGGACGGGAGGGGGGGGGGGGGGGGGGCGAAACCGATACTGGTCTAAACCCCGCATTCCTGCCTGGTGCCTCCTTTCTCTCATCTTCCTTTCCTCGTCGTCCTGGAGAACATCTCGTCAGTCTCTGCCACCACTGCCTCCTCTATCACCTCTTGACCACTCCTCCCCGAATCCATCAGCCTCTTCTCTCCTCCCGCCTCCTCCTCCTCGTCCTCCTCCTCCTCCACTTCCCCCTCCTCCTCCTCCTCCTCCTCCTCCTCCTCCTCC